TTTAGTTGGTGTTGTCCTTCTTGTTGTTGGACCTACAACAGTTATTGATGCCTTTAACCTCGTTGTTGGACCTGGTGGGACAAATGGTGCATTTGGCCTTCTAACTAACAACGTTTTGGATGATTTAGATTGAGATGGCTGAGAAGCTTGACCAGGAACTGACTTAGATGCTTGAGATGGGACAAATGATGCATTTGGCCTTCTAACTGACAACTTTTTGGATGATTTAGATTGAGATGCCTGAGAACCTTGACCAGGAACTGACTTAGATGCTTGAGATGCCACTGGTACAGATGATGCCACTGGTACAGATGCTTGAGATGGTTGAGAAGGCACTGGTACAGATGCTTGAGATGGTTGAGAAGGCACTGGTACAGATGCTTGAGATGGTTGAGAAGGCACTGGTGCTTGTGGTACAGATGGTGCTTGTGGTACAGATGGTTGAGCTGCATGTGGTACTTGTGTAGTAGTTGTCTGACTAGTAGAAGGCACCTTACAAGTAAGCTTGTTGTGACCTACCTGCTTACACCTGCTACACTTTATAATGAATCCTGTTCTTCTCATCTTTTTATCAGTACCATCTAGCTCACCTTGCTCTAAATTCCTCCTTTTCTTTGGCCTTCCAGGCATTTTCCTGAATTTGGGTGGCATAACATCAGGGTACTCAGTTGTAACCCATAGGTTTGAGCCATTAACAGGGAATATGACAGGTTTGTACACTTGCAAATATCTAGATTTCCTGTAATAATCAGGAATGTATTCATCAATCCTATGGTTCCTATTCTTGATTGCTGCAAGTGAATGAACACATGGTAGGCCTGTTAGCTCCCATCTTCTGCATGAACAGATTTTTTCCTTCAAGTTTACAGTGAATTTTTCAGCAGAATTTTCCAGATGCCTCACTTCAAACATATGCTCATCAAACATCCTAACACAGAAAAATGGACATTCCAAATTAAGACATCAAATGGACATTCCAAAGTCAGACATTCTAACACAGAAAAAATGCTTGTTTTAATAATTTTACCTGGGAAGCCACATGTTTGTGAATGAACTTGTTTTGTCAACCTTTTTCATAATGTTTGGCAACACTTCTACATCTGTCAATTTCTGAAACCTCATCCTGTTTGTAGCCCATCTCTCCATCATGTATATCCTAATTTCTTCCACCATGGTTATTAATGGCTTGGCCCTTGACTCCAAAATAACACTATTAAAGGATTCTGACATATTATTGAGAACTGCATCGCATTTGTTATGAGTCTTGAAGTATGATCTGCTCCAAAACCTTGGAGGGGTAGACATCATGTGCTTGTATGCTTCTCCATTGATATGTTTCATAACTTTCATCTCTCTTTCCCAAGCTTGGTAGTAAGTTGATTTGGATGCCTTCCATATAATTTCCTTTAGTTTTTTTCCTGGAAATCTCTTCCTAAAGTTGTTGTAGAGATGCCTAACACAGAATCTTTGTTCAACTGTAGGCAGTAGTTCCTCCATTGCAGGCAATAATCCCTGGGTCATGATATGTATAGAATTTAATTATTAAACATGAGAATACCAAGATAAACATGAGAATTTAATTATTAAAAATACTAATCAATTGAGAATTAACAATAGAGTCATACCTTTTGTTGATCAGAAATAAAAGTGTATGTGAGACACTCTTCTCTTCCACCTAGATCACCAATAAGCAGCTCCAAGAACCATGTCCAACTTTCCTTGTTTTCACTCTCCACTACTGCATATGCTATTGGTAGCATTTGATCATTGGGATCTCTGCCTATGGCTGACAGGATTTGACCTCCATAAAGCCCTTTCAAAAAACATCCATCAAGCCCTATGAAATGTCTACTTAACCTGAAGCTTTCCTTACAAGCTGCCAAGCATATGTAAATCCTTTTGAAGTGTAATTTCTGAACACCACTACCTTCTTGAGCTGGTTGGACATGTACTTTCACAGTTGACCCTGGGTTAGATCTTAACAACTCATGTGCATAGTCATAAATCCTTGTATAATCCCCTAAGAATGACCCATCAACCATGTCTCTTGCTGCAAACCTAGCCCTTATAGCCTTGGTTTTGTTGACCCCCACATTCCACTTCTTCTGCACCTTTTCCTTAATGTCCTTAAGCTTCAATCTAGGGTTGGTTTTAAGTGCATTCTGCAACCTCTTGCTAAGCCATTTAGTCTTCAACAACTTCACATGATATTCTCTACTGCAACTATGGGTGTCTATCACCTTTCTTAGTTGCCAAGTATCCTCAACATCCAACTTAGCCCAATAACCTTCCCATTCACATCCATCCTTACACCTAACCCTAACCCTTATCTTGTCATTTTTGATGTACTTTAAATTTCTGCCAGATTGGACTGCATAAGAGGTAACTGCTTCCTTGATATCTTCTTTTGTACTAAAATATGTACCCACTTCCCATTTGTAATTGGACATATCCTTTAGAAGCTTGAAAATGGGATACTTCTTTCTCTTGGTAGTATTGCTATCTTCACTATCACAATCACTTACAAGATCCTCACTTTCATTATCACTTCCTTTATCACTTCCTTTATCACTTCCTTTACTATCTTCTTTATTTGGTTCAGTTTCACAGAGATCAGTTACATCTTCCATACCTTCTTCCTCTTCCAAGTCAGTATCACAGTCATCAGTTTCATCATCAAATACAACCTCCTTTGCACTATCATACGAAAAGCTACTATCATCAGAGCTATCATCATCAGAACTATCATCATCATTCTGTCCAACAGCATTTTCACTTGCCTCCTTCTGTCCAACATCATCTTCACTTGCCTCATTCTGTATAACAACATCTTCACTTGCCTCCTTCTGTCCAACAACATCTTCAATTGCCTCCTTCTGTATAACAACATCTTCACTTGCCTCCTTCTGTCCAACAGCATCCTCACTTACCTCATTTTGTCTAACTGCATCATCTTCCATTACATTCAGGGGTATCTCATCTAAAATAACTTCACTCTCATCAACATACTCAGGCTGTGACAATGGGTGTTGAATAAAGACTTCAACACGTAAATGAACCATATATAGATCAGCAATCTCTAAGGCCCCTTTGTCATCAAACAACAGATTCATTCCAGCAGTTGGATCCTTATAGTATATCTTCTCTATGGCTGGGTAACCTAGTTCCTTAATAGCACCCAATAACTCAAAATAACCCCACATATCAGCATCTACTCTCAAATCAGCAATCTCACCTCCTTCGTACACACTCAAGTCCTCACTAACAAATTGACCACTGTAGTGTATCGTAATATTAAGAATTTCCTCCATTACACACAATGCCCTAAATAGAGAGATGAATTTTCAGAGAAGGGAGACGAATTTCATGGAAATCCTAACTATGAAAATAGAATTCTTGCAGAAAGCAGAAACTTACCTCTGATGAGAAGTCTGGTTTCACCTTCAAGGAAACATGCAATGGATGAGTGGTAATGCCACATAAGAGTGTCAAACTGACTTTTAAGTGGAATTGCCACATGTAATTTTTCTAAACCCACATGTAATGCCACATAAGCGCTGCCATTAAACATGACTAACGGAGTGGATGAAAAGGACAAACGTGGTCCTTTTGAAAGAATTATAGAACCAGTTTGATATTTTTTTTAGATAAAGGACCAAAATGGACCTTGGGGTAAAGTTAAAGGACTAAAAATAGTATTTTGTCATTAAATAACAACCATTAGATCAAGATAATAACAAAATAGAAAACTTAATGATCTATTATATTATCTAAGCTAAGATCCCTTGACTTTGCTCGGCGAGGACACGTCATTTCTCATATTTTTATAAATTGACGAGTAATGTAAGCAACAAACAACATAATTAGATAATTGACGCATGTTTTAATAAATGGACGGCTAAGAAACCTGTTACCAGCTACACAACATATTGTATCACTCTAGTGGTCCCTGTACATCCTCCTTTAGGCTCTTTACAAATATACAGTATAAATGGATATGCAAAATTCTCTTTATTAAGCTATGCACAATTTTTTGTTGCTATTTATCAAATGGAGAGGAAAAATTTACAAGCGATAGAAAATAGTGTAGGGATTGAAGGTGAACTAATTCTCAAATAAGTTAAAGAAAGAAATAGGAAACATCAAAGATTCATTATTTTTAGATGATCCGTGGAATGAAATGGCGCCTCTTAGAATTAGATTTCCAACATTTATTCTTGTTATCAAAAAATCAAAACACTACTATTCTCCATGAACTAATTTAAGATGAAGAGAGCGAGTTGAAATGAAATTTCAATTGGACATGAAATTTGAAAAAAACTTAGGTACACATAAATATAATATTTAATTTTATAAATAAACAATCACATTTTCTTTATTAATTAAAAATAAAAATATAATATTTTCTTTGTTTCAAAATCAGAATTACCTCATAATATCAATTTAAAAATTAAATTAAATTTTAAATAAATAAAATATTTTCTCTATTTTATTTGTAACAATAAAAATTTATATTGGTAAATATGTAAATTTTTCACATGAACTTTAATGTTTGCAGATTTGAATTGGATTGATATAGATTTTTTTTTTTTTTAATTTTAGAACCAACCTTGCATTCAAGTTTAAAGTCCCAATGCATGAATTAATAACACTTAATACAATTAGAATTATAATTTTAAGAAGAACACACTCTTAAGACTCAAGCCTTCACCATTACATATAAATATTTAAAACATGATCAATTATTTTTACGGTTGAATAGTGCAAACTTATTCTTGAAAAAGATCCATAAAAACAAACCGCTAAATTACATTGCAAATAAAAGTTACACTCAGCACCTTAAAGATCCATGTAGACATCAATTCAAATTTACTACAAAAACAAATCCCAAATACTAAACATAAAAAAGAACAACCATAAAATACAACCTTGTCTCCTCTGTCCCAAGATCATCAACAACACACAAACACATTATATTATATCATGTTCAAAACTAAGTTTCAAACAACCTTAACCTCAATAGTTCTGGGCTTCTTAGGTTGAGGAGGAGGTAATTTCTCAACAGTAACACTCAGTACCCCATCTTGACACACAGCTGAAACAGCATCGGTATTAGCATTCTCAGGAAGCACAAACTTGCGCATGAATTTTCCAACTCTTCTCTCCATTCTCAAATACTTTGCACCTTCTTTCTCTTCTTCTTCCCTCTTTCTTTCACCACTTATAACAAGCACGTTATCGTCTTCCACCTGAACCTTTATGTCACCAGATTTCAACCCTGGCATGTCGATCACAAACACGTATGAATTTGGATTTTCCTTCACATCCGCCGGAGTTGCAGCCATTGCCTTCGCATCTCTGACGTACGACCGTGTCGGAGCATTGTGTGATGTCTTGTCGGAAGAAGTGTCGTCTGAAATATCCGTCATTTGGTGCAGAGCGTGCAAAACTGAAGCATCAAAACCCATCAATCTGAAATCCATTATCGTTCTTTTCAGATGAAGTGAATGTGATTTTCAATATTCTGATTTCCTAAATTCGTTGATTTTGGTTTCTGTGGAATAACAAGTGGTGATCATTGGAGTATTTAAAAGGTGAGAAATGTACGTGGAACAAGAAACTTGAAGGTTCTACACAAATCTATTGAAACTTCTAGTACTTTCTTCTTGAATGAGAAACATCAATGAGAACCAAACACGTGCTTTTTTGAAAGTTCTTTTCTACTAACTTCCGGAATGTTCTGTTTTTATTAGTCCAAATAATAAGAGGAAATGTTTTTGCCTTCTTTCTATCCACTTTCTTATACTACTTATTTTAATTTAACTTAAGTACTAATTGTACACGTGAGATGTACGAAAAATAAATTATTTCAATGATAAAATAATATAGAATAAATGTAATATATAAAAAGTGTTAGAACAAAGTTTGAATCTATTACCCTAAGTTTAAGTTTTGATGATAACAAAATGAAAAGATATATTAATTATGTGATTCATGTAAGAACTATTTGCTACCTAAAATATTACCTTCTGTTTTGCAGAAACTCTGATAGGTATTAGCAAGAGTACACTTAATCAGCATCAGAATATTGGTTATCAACATCAACATTAGAAGTTGCTATATCAGAATACCAGAATCAGAAGAAAAACTCATGCGAATGCTGAAGCTTGATGAACAGAACTGCGCTCAACACTCTGATAAAGACAACAACAGTTCATCAGCACTTAAGCAGAGTCAGAATGAGCCAAAGCCAGAACACGCTTTAAGTAGCAACGGTACTGTGCATTCAAGGCGAATTATTACCAACGACATCATTCCAGACAAGATCTGTTTAATAAAGAAAGTTTGTTATTGGCATTGAATCAAGATTATTGCTCCAACGTTCAACAAATTCAGTGCTATATAAACAAGACAATGAAGATTGAATTGGCTAATGCTCTACATCAATTTACACGCCTAAAAGCTATTCATCATCTTCTCATTCTCAATTTGCTAAAAGCTCCAAGAATTCCTTACTCAGTATTTTAGCAATCCAGTTTCCATAAGCTTAAGTTGTGTAATATCACAGTTGTGATAAACAGTTTTGTAGAAAACATTCACACACCTAGATTTCTCTTCTTTGTAAGAAAGTGTTTCCTTGACAAACCGGTTTGTGGTTTGCATCAAGAAGGCTTTAGCAGTTGTTAAAGCAGATTGTAATATTCAGTTGAATATAGTGGATTAAGACCTCGTTGGAGAGAGGCGAAATCACCTTGACGGGTGGACTGGAGTAGTTTGAGATCAAACGAACCAAGATAAAAATATCGTGTTCATTGCATTGATTTTCAGTTTTACAATTCAACCCCCCTTCTTGTGTTTTTCACTTCTTCAATTGGCATCAGAGCGCCTGGTTCTGAGCTAAAACACTTAACCGTGTTAGTACAAGATCCAGCGTCAGAAAAACACAATGGCGGGAACTTATTCTCACACCAGCAATGACAACCATGAGGACAGAGACAGATTCAGCGGCAAACCTCCAGTCTTTGATGGAGAAAATTTTGATTACTGGAAAGACAGAATTGAAAGCTTCTTTCTGGCATATGATGCTGATCTGTGGGACATGGTGACAGATGGATACACGCACCATGTGAATGCAAGCGGTCAGAAGATTGATAGGAAAACAATGTCTGACCAACAAAAGCGTGACTTCAAGAATCACCACAAGGCCAGAACCATCCTTCTCAACGCCATCTCGTATGCTGAATATGAAAAGATCTCCAACAGAGACACAGCAAAGAACATGTTTGACTCACTCAGAATGACGCATGAGGACAACGTTCAGGTCAAAGAAACTAAAGCTCTGGCGCTTATTCAGAAGTATGAGGCATTCAAAATGGAAGAAAGTGAATCCATTGAAACAATGTTCTCAAGATTCCAGATTTTAGTAGTTGGTCTCAAGGTTCTGGACAAAGGCTACTCTACTGCTGATCACGTCAAGAAAATCATCAGAAGCTTACCAAAGCAGTGGAGGCCAATGGTTACAGCTCTGAAGCTAGCAAAAGATCTCAACAAAATTTCTCTGGAGGAACTTATCAGCTCCCTCAGAAGTCATGAGATAGAGCTAGAAGCTGATGAACCCCAGAAGCAAGGTAAGCCTTTAGCATTAAAATCTAACAAAAAATCTGAGTCTAAAGTTTTGCAGGCAGTTGAAGAAACATCTGATGGATCCTCATCAGAAGAAGACGAACTCTCCCTCATCTCCAGAAGAGTGAATCAACTGTGGAAGCAGAGACAAAGGAAGTTCAGGAATCCCAGAAGATCTGATCAGAACGAGTCTTCTTCCAGATACAGAAGGACATATTCTTCCTCTGGATACAGAAGATCTGAAGGCTCCTCAGGAAGCAGAAAGCCAAACACCAAAGACATCATCTGCTATGAGTGCAATGAGCAAGGACACTACAAGAGTGACTGCCCAAAGCTTCAGAGGGAAAATCCCAAAAAGAAGTTTGGAAGAGAAAAGAAGAAAAGTCTCATGGCTACATGGGATGACTCTGACTCGTCTGAAGCTGACTCAGAATCAGATGATGAGAGAGCAAACATAGCTCTCATGGCCAACATTTCAGAAGATAGTGAAGCTTCTGAATCAGACTCAGAATCAGATACTGAAGAGGTATTTCCTGACTTTGCAGTTAATTTTACCAAGGCTGAACTTGCTGAAAGCCTTAATGAAATTCTGGAAAGGTATCAGCAGATTAGAGTTAAATTCAAAAACCTGAAAAGGAATCTTGAATCTGACTCTAATAAGACTGAGAGTCTTAAATTGGAGAATTCTGAGCTGAGAGATAAAATTTCAAAATTAGAAAATACTTTACAAAACTCTCAGAAGGAACCAATTTCTGAAACTCCCAGCAACGCTGATGAGATCATCAAGGAGTATGATCACAGTTTCCAGAAGTTCCTTGCTAAAAGCATAGATAGAAGCAAAATGGCTTCAATGATCTATGGAGTTAGCAGAAACGACAGGAAGGGAATAGGATACCAAGGTAAGGTTCCTACACCAAAGAATGTCATGGATTTAACCATTAAACACACTCCTCTGAATTCACATTTTGTGTATGGTCACACACATGATATTAAATACACTAGCAGTAAGTACTCTGTGAAACCAAAATTCAACCAGAGTTTTGGTAAATCTAACAAATCAGAACCCAAGAAAATCTGGGTACCTAAGGATAAAATAATACATGTTGCAGATATCTTTAGCAGCAAATCAGAAACACCAGTCATGGTACCTGGACTCTGGCTGCTCGCGACACATGACGGGAAGAAGGCATATGTTCCAAAGCCTGGAACTTAAGCCTGGAGGCCACGTTGGCTTTGGAGGCAATCAGAGGGGAAAGATCATTGGCTCTGGAACTGTAGGTAATGGAAATCTTCCCTCTATTAATAATGTTCTGCTAGTAGATGGATTAATGCATAATCTGTTATCCATAAGTCAATTAAGTGATAACGGTTATGATATAATCTTTAATCAAAAATCATGTAAAGTTGTTAGTCAGAAAGATGAGACTATCCTGTTTAATGGAAAGAGGAAAAACAACATTTACAAAATCAAACTTTCTGAACTGAAAAGTCAGAATGTAAAGTGCCTTCTGTCTGTTAACAACGAGCAGTGGATCTGACACAAAAGATTGGGGCATGTTAGTATGAGAAGAATATCTCAGATTAACAAACTCAATCTGGTCAGAGGACTTCCTAATTTGAAGTTCAATTCAGATGCTCTGTGTGAAGCATGTCAGAAAGGCAAGTTTGCAAAACCTTCTTTTAAATCTAAAAATGTTGTTTCTACCTCCAAGCCGTTAGAACTTCTGCACATTGACTTATTTGGACCAGTTAAAACGGCTTCAGTCAGTGGCAAGAAGTATGGGTTAGTAATCGTAGATGACTATAGCAGATGGACATGGGTAAAGTTCTTAAGACACAAGGACGAGTCACACTCTGTGTTTGTTACCTTCTGTAACCAAGTTCAGAATGAAAAGAATCTTAGAATCGTTAAAGTTAGAAGTGATCATGGTGGAGAGTTTGAAAACAAAGATTTTGAGTCATTCTTTAATGACAGAGGCATTCTGCATGATTTCTCTTGTCCTAGAACTCCCCCACAAAATGGAGTTGTAGAACGAAAGAACAGAACATTGCAAGAAATGGCCAGAACCATGATCAATGAGACAAACGTTGCTAAGATCTTCTGGGCATAGGCAATAAACACAGCGTGCTACATTCAGAATAGAATCTCAATAAGACCTATTCTGGAAAAGACTCCATATGAATTGTGGAAGAACAGAAAGCCTAACATTTCATATTTTCATCCATTTGGATGTACCTGTTTTATGTTAAATACAAAGAATTATTTGAACAAGTTTGACTCTAAAGCACAGAAGTGTATTATGTTAGGATACTCTGAACGCTCAAGAGGGTACAAAGTATACAATACAGAAACACAGATTGTGGAAGAATCAATCAGTGTTCATTTTGATGATAAGCTTGACTCTGAAAAGTCAAAGCAAAATGAAGTTTTTGCAGGTATGGAAATTGAATTTACAGGTTCTGAAGACAAGTCATCAGAAGCTCTCAACACAGACACTCCTTCAACGTCTGAAAGGAGCACTGCTAGCAATCCTACAACAACTGCTGATCAGATTAAAGCAATGCTGGAGACTCTGTTCACACGCCTTCCTCCCCAACCTTAGATTTTCGTTCATGCTATTTTCATGTTTTCTTTGCATATCTTCTGTATTGTTCTGTCTGGCTCTGACTATCTTAATATGACAAGTTTTTCTGCTCTAATTGTTTTAGCACATCACTTACACTTTTTGATTGCTGACAAAAAGGGGGAGAACAAGAATGATATGTTTTCAATAACGGATTACTGAGACAAAAAGTCTCAAACATTCTAACTCTGATATACTTGAATGTTTTCTTCTGTTTTTGCTTAAGTCTACAGGTA